CATCAACCAAATCTTTCAGTGGGCTGCAGAAAACAATATGAAGTACAACGATGAGAAATTTCAATTACTCAGATATGGTAAACATGAGGAAATTAAATCTTCATCAGAGTACAAAACAAATTCTGGCCACAAAATAGAGCGAAACACCAACGTCAAAGACCTGGGAGTGATCATGTCGGAGGATCTCACCTTCAAGGACCATAACATTATATCAATCGCATCTGCTAGAAAAATGACAGGATGGATAATGAGAACCTTCAAAACTAGGGAGGCCAAGCCCATGATGACACTCTTCAGGTCACTTGTTTTATCTAGGCTGGAATATTGCTGCACACTAACAGCACCTTGGAAGGCAGGTGAAATTGCCGACCTAGAAAATGTACAGAGAACTTTCATGGCGCGCATAACGGAGATAAAACACCTCAATTACTGGGAGCGCTTGAGGTTCCTAAACCTGTATTCCCTGGAACGCAGGAGGGAGAGATACATGATTATATACACCCGGGTGTTGAGCATGTCTTAATTTCATCTTGTCGGTATTATATACCATTCTTGTACTACTACTACTACCACCACCACCTCTTCCTGCCTATATATAGCCGTCCTGCTCCACTTCTGGTTAGTGTGACTTTGTAAATGGTCCAAGTCGGACCGAAACGTCGTCGTAAGCTTCTCTTTCATGTCCTTTCTAATTCTTCCCCCTCAAGGAAGGTTCCTTGACGTTGGTGAGGGGCTCTTGATTTAGGGAATTGGATCTGTGCTCCAGTTCCCCGAATTAAGCCTGAATGCCTTCCACATCCCCCCCCAGGCGCTGTATAATCCTCTGGGTTTAGCGCGTCCCCTTGATTATAATAATAATCTAATTCTTCAATGGTTTAATTTGGAAGCCGGTTAGTGAACTTGGGTGAAGGTGTGGGCATCCCGCTCTGCTGGTGCTTGGCAAGCTGCTCCACACCATATAACTGAGAGATTCTAAATCTTGTTAATATTTACAAAAGAACTCATGTTTCTTATTTCTTTCAGGGTTCAGTTTTGGTCAAGAAATCTTGGCAGTACATCTGGAAGTTGGCCGCCATATTGACTGAGCTGTGACTGGCCCTTGTAAACAACAACAACAACAACACCAGCTGGTCAGTCATTCTGGGATTTTTTTTCTCTTCTTTTTTTGAGAAATTTTATCTGCCTATCTACTGATTGATGGTTATAATATGTTTGTTTGTTGGTGATTTTGTTTATCGTCATAAATGTGAGAAAAGTGCTTGGAGGTTCACTAATTTTGTTTCACATTGAGAACAAGATTTTGTTTGGATACTTTTAACTTAGAGAGTTAAAACCCAGGATAACCCGGGGTAGGGAGGGTTAGCCAGCCAGGATAACCCAGGGTAGCGTGGGATACCACCTAGGATAACCCAGGGTAGGGTGGGATAGCCACCTAGGATAACCCAGGATAACCCAGGATAACCCAGGGTAGGGAGGGTTAGCCAGCCAGGATAACCCAGGGTAGCGTGGGATACCACCTAGGATAACCCGGGGTAGGGTGGCATAGCCACCCGGGGTAGGGAGGGTTAGCCAGCCAGGATAACCCAGGGTAGGGTTGGATAGCCACCCCGGGTAGGGAGGGTTAACCAGCCAGGATAACCCAGGGTAGGGTGGGATAGCCACCTAGGATAACCCAGGGTAGGGTGGGATAGCCACCTAGGATAACCCGGGGTAGGGTGGAATAGCCACCTGGGGTAGGAAGGGTTAGCCAGCCAGGATAACCCAGGGTAGGGTGGGATAGCCACCTAGGATAACCCAGGATAACCCAGGATAACCCGGGGTAGGGAGGGTTAGCCAGCCAGGATAACCCAGGGTAGCGTGGGATACCACCTAGGATAACCCGGGGTAGGGTGGGATAGCCACCTGGGGTAGGGAGGGTTAGCCAGCCAAGATAACCCAGGGTAGGGTGGGATAGCCACCTAGGATAACCCAGGGTAGGGTTGGATAGCCACCCCTGGTAGGGAGGGTTAACCAGCCAGGATAAACCCAGGGTAGGGTGGAATAGCCACCCAGGGTAGGGAGGGTTAGCCAGCCAGGATAACCCAGGGTAGGGTGGGATAGCCACCTAGGATAACCCGGGGTAGGGTGAAATAGCCACCTGGGGTAGGAAGGGTTAGCCAGCCAGGATAACCCAGGGTAGGGTGGGATAGCCACCTAGGATAACCCAGGGTAGGGTGGAATAGCCACCTAGGATAACCCGGGGTAGGGTGGAATAGCCACCTGGGGTAGGAAGGGTTAGCCAGCCAGGATAACCCAGGGTAGGGTGGGATAGCCACCTAGGATAACCCAGGATAACCCAGGATAACCCGGGGTAGGGAGGGTTAGCCAGCCAGGATAACCCAGGGTAGCGTGGGATACCACCTAGGATAACCCGGGGTAGGGTGGGATAGCCACCCGGGGTAGGGAGGGATAGCCAGCCAAGATAACCCAGGGTAGGGTGGGATAGCCTCCTAGGATAACCCAGGGTAGGGTTGAATAGCCACCCCTGGTAGGGAGGGTTAACCAGCCAGGATAACCCAGGGTAGGGTGGAATAGCCACCCGGGGTAGGGAGGGTTAGCCAGCCAGGATAACCCAGGGTGGGGTGGGATAGCCACGTAGGATAACCCGGGGTAGGGTGGAATAGCCACCTGGGGTAGGAAGGGTTAGCCAGCCAGGATAACCCAGGGTAGGGTGGGATAGCCACCTAGGATAACCCAGGGTAGGGTGGGGTAGCCACCTAGGATAACCTGGGGTAGGGTGGAATAGCCACCTGGGGTAGGAAGGATTAGCTAGCCAGGATAACCCAGGGTAGGGTGGGATAGCCACCTAGGATAACCCAGGATAACCCAGGATAACCTGGGGTAGGGTGGGTTAGCCAGTCAGGATAACCCAGGGTTGCGTGGGATACCACCTAGGATAACCCGGGGTAGGGTGGGATAGCCACCCAGGTTAGGGAGGGTTAGCCAGCCAGGATAACCCAGAGTAGGGTGGGATAGCCACCTATGATAACCCAGGGTAGGGTTGGATAGCCACCCCGGGTAGGGAGGGTTAACCAGCCAGGATAACCCAGGGTAGGGTGGAATAGCCACCCGGGGTAGGGAGGGTTAGCCAGCCAGGATAACCCAGGGTAGGGTGGGATAGCCACCTAGGATAACCCAGGGTAGGGTGGAATAGCCACCTGGGGTAGGAAGGGTTAGCCACCTAGGATAACCCAGGGTAGGGTGGGATAGCCACCTAGGATAACCCAGAGTAGGGTGGGATAGCCACCTAGGATAACCCAGGGTAGGGTGGAATAGCCACCTGGGGTAGGAAGGGTTAGCCAGCCAGGATAACCCAGGGTAGGGTGGGATAGCCACCTAGGATAACCCAGGGTAGGGTGGAATAGCCACCTGGGGTAGGAAGGGTTAGCCACCTAGGATAACCCAGGGTAGGGTGGGATAGCCACCTAGGATAACCCAGAGTAGGGTGGGATAGCCACCTAGGATAACCCAGGGTAGGGTGGAATAGCCACCTGGGGTAGGAAGGGTTAGCCAGCCAGGATAACCCAGGGTAGGGTGGGATAGCCACCTAGGATAACCCAGGATAACCCGGGGTAGTGTGTGATAACCAGCCAGGATAACCCAGGATAACCCGGGGTAGGGAGGGTTAGCCAGCCAGGATAACCCAGGGTAGCATGGGATAACCAGCCAGGATAACCCAGGATAACCTGGGGTAGCGTGGGATAGCCAGCCAGGATAACCCAGGGTATGGTGGGATAGCCACCTAGGATAACCCAGGGTAGAGAGGGTTAACCAGCCAGGATAACCCAGGGTAGGGTGGGATAGCCACCTAGGATAACCCAGGGTAGGGTGGAATAGCCACCTGGGGTAGGAAGGGTTAGCCACCTAGGATAACCCAGGGTAGGGTGGGATAGCCACCTAGGATAACCCAGAGTAGGGTGGGATAGCCACCTAGGATAACCCAGGGTAGGGTGGAATAGCCACCTGGGGTAGGAAGGGTTAGCCAGCCAGGATAACCCAGGGTAGGGTGGGATAGCCACCTAGGATAACCCAGGATAACCCGGGGTAGTGTGGGATAACCAGCCAGGATAACCCAGGATAACCCAGGGTAGGGAGGGTTAGCCAGCCAGGATAACCCAGGGTAGCATGGGATAACCAGCCAGGATAACCCAGGATAACCTGGGGTAGTGTGGGATAGCCAGCCAGGATAACCCAGGGTAGTGTTGGATAGCCAGCC